TCAGGATTAGCGCAAGTAACGGTTCTCAGTCAGTTGATTGAAAATTCAAATGGTAATTATAATATATGCATCGGTGATTTGTTGTGTCCGTCCTAACGTATGACATAGAAAGATGCATGCAATAGACATAAGTTTGAGTATGTGCAGACTGATGAGTGTAGTCAAGTATTCAAAAAATGGCTCTAAATTACTTTCTTTAATGCGAGTCCATTCCACAAGTGTAATACATTCACTGAAAGTGCAAATTTGCTTTCTGACCATGCATTTTGCAAATATAAAAGCTATGCGTAGACAAACAACACAACTATTATTGTAAGCCGGAACGTTGCCGGGTAATATAACATAATGAAGTAGAGTTCAGTCAGGGGCGGAAAAAATCTTCGAGGGCACTTGACCTCAAGGCACTCGAAATTGATCTGATTCGAATACAACCGCAGTGCAATTATTATATTATGATAATATTATTATTTATTGCAACTTATTATTATTACTATTGTACAAGCTTACTTATTGAATTGTTATCGCATATGAGTAATATGAAACACTTTTGGGTGTGTCTTTACAGTTGTTTTTAATGCAGTAGAACATCTGTTTATGAACACAATTTAATTCGTTCGTTTCTAATCCGAACGGGTCACAAACTGAGGTTTTTTCGCAGTGGTCAATGGACAATGAACTAATTCCTTTCCTTAATTCATAACGTCAAATATTGTTAAAATTTCCATCCGTTTTTCATCATATTCCATGTCATTTGATGTTACTGTCATCTCGACGAGCATCACTAATTTGACGTTACTGTCATGTGTGCGAGCATCGTCAATTTGATGTCAATGCCGTCTTTCCGATCAAGTCAACTTAATTTCAGTATGCGATCAGTTGATAAACAGAAATTGACAACGATCAACATCGTGGATAACGCTTTCAAAAAATGCTTTATGGAGCGACAAATGATTACTGATGACTGAAAATTATTCGAACTCACCTCAGAGATGATCAGATCGGCATTTGTCGACTGCTGCAATTCGGCTGCGTATGTCGCGTTTGCGTATAGCTTCTGAAGAACCTATAATGTATAGCTTTTGGCTGCTTATAAATGTGCTTGATAGCCACGTAAATATGCTTCATCGACTGCTTCTCTTAAGTAATTATTGCTTCAACTTCAACTTCAACTTCGATTTTTCGGTTTTTCTGTTAAATGTTGTCAATTTTCTCCGTGAATTTGCCGTCTTTCTTTCACTCTAATTCTTGTCGGTGTTGATGACTAATACTGAGCATTTTCAAAATCTTCGTGACAACTGCAATTTTTGTTCTTCACCAACGGAAACCGTCTAGAAAAGTCCAGTTATGGCAACGCAATAGGCAGAGACTGTTTGTTTTTTGGAATGTCTCCGCTTAGACACTGTAATTCAGGGATCTTCAATATCATAAATCACACAAAGTACAGCAATTAATAATGTTCTCCGTTCGAAAGGTGCAAATCGCATTTGTTCCATTCCGAAGTGATTTTCGTCTACAGTAATAACGTCTGCATCGCAATCTCTCTGTTTTATCACCAATTAAATCAATCCGAATACGCAAACATTCATCAACAACAAAACGCGAACACCAAAACGGAACAAAGAATTGTTGAAATTTCCAAAAAATAATCATCTCAACGATTAAAATATTTTTCACCAATAAAAAATTTATAGTCCAATAAAAGTGCGTCTTAGTTCGTTTATTTTTTTTTTTCAAAAAAAAAATCATCTCAGTTGAGCAGTGATCAATCCAACAAAGTGTCTCCACCCAACATCTTGATCAATCCAATAAAGTGTCCCCACCAAACATCATCAATTTATCTTTTTCTTGTCAATCACCCCTACCAATCTTCAGTGACAACCTCTGTTACTTTTTGCCATTTTTCTTCTATTTTTTCATCAATTCAGTGAATGATTTTTCTCTACATTTACGTTTTTCATATATCGCCGTTGATGGTATGCACAACTTCATATTAAATATTGCGTCTCCCTGAGCATGTCGTTAGTCAGCAAAAAATTCTGAATGTGGAACTAAAATCTAAATTTCTCAAAAACGATGTCAAATAGATTAATGAAACATGGGTGAGTTGCTAAACTTGTCATAATATGGCGAAGTTTTTGTTCAAATCAAGTTGATATGCTTGCACTGAAGTGGAATGACGATATCAACGTCTGATCGACATTCACAGCGATAGTTTCCGTTCAGATCAGAAACGAATGATTCAAGAAAAACCATGAATATGATGAGTGAATCAAATTCGCTGACTTCGCCGAACAGTGAATGATGATGGTGAAATTGAACGAATGATTAATTGCAGCGATTTGAATCAACACCTCTGCAATGGTAAACATTTAATGGGTATGAATCAAAATAGTTTTTTTCGGAACTCACCCGAAATTTTTTGGAGATGAAATATTAATGTAGAAAAATAGCTTTGAAAACCAAAGTACAAAACGTCATCCCTTTCAAAAACTAAAGTTTGACGAACATAGGCGAATTACTTCAGAATGTGCGTGAGTCTGTGTTTATGAGAGAATGATCCTGAGAAGGTGATACAGTTTAGAAGAGTGTTTTTCAGAAGGTGCAGTACTTTAGCGATACAGTCTGCGTAGGGTAAGATATACGATCTTTCGGATTATTGACTTCGTACTTTTGATTTCTGAATTTTAGAACATTGAAGTGTGGTTCCACCGAATTGAAAGTTGCGAATCACAGAAGTACTTCGACCTTCGTTCGTTGGACGTTCAGTTGTCTCTTTTCAGATTATTTTATTCATCAGTATTCTTCTTATTTCGGTGCATGTTGATGAATTTACTTCCTGATTCTATCAAACTTTTTTTCATACCAATAATAGTGATATATTAATGAAACATGGGTGAACCGTTCAGCAATGCATTATAATTAAAATCAGCAATTTATTATGTTCCAGGCGGAATGTTTCTTCAAAGTGTGGCAATCATTTAGGTGAGAAAATCGAATCTGTCAGATTGATAATATATTATCCGTTTTTTGATGAGTATCAACTGTTAGACAGACCAGGTGAGTGAAGAATTTTTGCAAATCGCATACTGCATCAAGTTGATAATGATGTGTCCGTTGCTAGATAAATTGTACTAGCACGGCCTGATTTTTCTGTAGCCGTTAGCTTGTGTTGATCATTTTGAGTGTTGTTGTAAGAAGGACATGTTCGAATACCGATTGATTATCATCAATGTTTTGATATCAGCGTTGGTTGAGATGTCGTCGTATGTCGTCGCTCATCTCCGCGCCTGATTATCATTGTTTGGGACGTATTTAAACTGGATTGTTCATACCATAGAGTTCATACCATAGTCAGTTTGTTTTACAGATCACTTACATACAGCACATCAAATTGTGCTTTTCATTGTGAAAAATTGTTTTAAAATGGTTGTGAACGGGTGAGAATGCTGTAGGAATTCATTTAGCATAAACCATATTTATCACCATTAAATGCACAAAGCGATTCAGGTTCTTATGAGAATTTTATTACAATTCTTGAAAGTATTCATCATATTCAATTTCTGATGAATAATACCAGCTATTAATATCACACTTCTTAAACTTATAAAGTGAAAGATGTACGTAATTATTTTCGTTGAGTTGCTAGGGTTCGCAGATCAGAATATCAAAGAGCAATGAATCAATCAGATGACAGTGCAAATCCATTTATTATATCTTTTCTCTCGGTTTTCTAATGACTCTCTTTGTTCCACTCACTCTTTTCCTTCATATTTTTCGTCTTTTCCTCTTCAAATTCATTCACATTCATTTTGCGATAAGAAATATTTGCACGTTCATGCTGTCATATGTAAGGATGTTGAATAATGTTTAGTGATTGAAGAAATGTATCGTAAAAATAAGAGAGGAACATGAAAAAGTTTAGAACAGCTCATCATCAGTACGTAATGATGTTGTGTCGAGTCGGGTTCGGCCAGAAATCATGACGTCGTATCGAAGCGTGCGATAATCTTCAAATTGTTTTGTTGTTCAGGTGGGAGGAAGGAAAGATGAGAGATGGAAGACGTTCATTGCTATTTTCTCGTTCAATTTTATGCTATTTACTTCTATCTCCAAATGGTCTAATGAAAGCCATTTGTTCATTCATTCCATTATTTATTTCACAAATTCATCCACCACCTATATAAACACAGTCAAACGAAAGCACATCAACTACAAACCACTATCAAGAAATACTACAATCATATCACTCCAATATTTAATCAATGAATAACAATCGTATTTTTATCAAGTGTATTCAATTCATTGTGTTCTATGTTCGTTTACATGCTCCACCTACCTGCTGCGTTCCATCGGCGTTCAATCACATAATTTTTGAGAATCTATTTTTCTTCATACCATCNAACAGACATTTATTTGTGCAAGTGCATCGCTGTTGGATTGTTGAATTTCATTGAAATACTTCATTTAAATATTAACAATCATAATTAGTATGTTCATTTTATATTCATTCTATCGTGAGATCATCATTGACCACGCTTTTTCTTTAATCTTTTCATTCATTCACGTCCATACAATAGAAATTTACTTCCTCGTTTTCCTTGCAGTCTTATCTCGACCGCTGCCTCGTCTTCTTTTAAATGCCTACCATTCCTTTAAAGAAAGCTTCAATGTTAAGCCTATCCTTATGCTTATCTTTGTGGCTATGTTCGTATCCGTTACTGCGTGTCCCTAATGTTGCTGTATCAAAGCAGTACTGATGTAACTAACGGCAATGTTCTTTTATCACAGCAGTCTTATCGTCTAATTGTCATTCGAGCGATCATTCGATGAACATTTCACTTAGTCATCATTCCACTTCTTTCATTCTACATTTCTCTTCAGATCGTAATCCTTTTACCCCCGATTTGATTCGCATTCAGTGGATTTATTCAAGTGTATACAACAAGAATCAATCACCCGATCAGTCATAGCATTATCGTATCGTTGTTTGATCCAAACAAATGGATTCAACAAACGTCACTTCTACATTAATAACTCAGCCGAATGCCACCGAACCAACGGATTTCTGTGTTGTTTGTGGTGACAAAGCTATCGGAAAACATTACGGAGCCGTAGCGTGTAACGGATGCAAGGGATTTTTCAGACGAAGGTGAACATGCCTTAAATCAAAAGCATTTCTTCTTTCATCAAAGGTCTTTATTTGCAATGGACACTGCACTTCAAAATGTGAATTTGGTTCGATTAATTGGGATTTTCGAGTTATCATATAAAATTGTTCAAGCCTATGATCAGCTTTNAATCCTCGATTGCAACTGAACAGTCGTTTGCATGATCAAAAAATGCAAACCTCTTTTCTAATAAATTAAACGATAAAAATGATGCGTTTCTGCAAAGAGAAACTCATAGCAAAGAATTCGGTGCAAACCTAGGTGCGCTGCAAAGTTTACATAACAAATATTTATCGTTCGTTCCTCTTATTGTCGAGTCAAAAGGGAATACTGATCAGTAGTTTGCCTCTTATTTTCAACTGGTTAACGCACTTTTAATCTCTTACCTTTCCTCCTTCTTTGATTGGTCTTTGAATGAAAATCACTTAAAATCACTTCATGCAACGACTTTTGTTGAAATTTTTTAAGCGCTATAACCTGGTTGGAGAGGCGAATTCCGCGCGATATATTCAAAACGTTCCGGAAATTCCTCTTCATAACTGACAAATCATGTCATACGGATACTGAATGTAGATTTGATGCAAAACTATGATTCACCTCAGTCACTAAACACTGCTCTTAAAGGAGCTTTATGATGCTCAGAAATTTGAATGTTTTTGAAGGAATCCACATCTTCGCGGATTTATCAGCTAAATACACTGTATATATCGAGTTTGTTGTTAAGTGTTTAGCGAAATTCGAACTTCAAATCTAATACCTGTTTCTGCGCACCGATCGTTTTACAATTCTTAAGCGAACAAACACTTCATGAAACATTCAATTCAAAATGGTCCCTTGTGAACACACGCGATGAATTTGCATTTGCTCTTCCCATGATCCTCAGTTGTCAGGTGTCAGTACATCATGGAAACATTTCTGTTCAGGATATTACACTCAAATAAGTCAAGCACAACAACAAGAAAAGTCTAGCGGAGAGTTGAATTCGTTAGTGATTCATGAGATATTACCGTAATGGAAGGTGTGACACACTCGTTCGCAACTTCACATTTCTTCACGAACAGTTTCGAGTGATTAGTAATATGCAAAAAAGATAACAATTTTTATTCGACTACGTGTGAACTTCTCTTGAATTGAAAAANAAAAACAATTATTGCTCTGCGTTCTGTTTTTCCTTCGCAACCAACAATGCTCTGAAAGTTCAAATTTAAATCTCAAAAAGTGTCGAATTTCAACGGTGCAATTCGTTGATTATCAGTTTTTTTGAGCAATGTCACAGCAGTGCAAAATGTTTTGAGAATTCTTAATGAAATGAAATGCATATTTTGCATGTTCGACACAACATTAATGAGTTGTAGTGTAGTTGGATACAAAAAAATCGGTGAAAAAGTTACATTGCAGCAGACGCAAACAAGTGAACGAGGAAGATGAATTCATTTGTTGTTGATGAGTTTGATTAGAAAGTACAACTTATATAACAATTCAATGCAATGATATTTATTACAATGCCCAAGAGAAACGCTCAATTTTGTATTCGAAATTCCGCAACATTTCAATTCATCAGTCACAAACGACATGAGAGAACATAAATGTAGTTAACTGATTCCAGTGTTTGGCAGAATCTACAATATACGTGTCGTTTCAATCAGCAGTGTAATATCGATAAGGATCATCGTAATGCTTGTCGCTACTGCCGTTTTCAAAAGTGCTTAGCCGATGGAATGAAACCTGAAGGTTAGTACAGATATCATAAATTGATGCGTTATTTTTGATACGATCATTTGATGGAATAGTCAGAAGAACTGGAATAGAATCATTTAGCTTTATTATTGAAAAATGAAAGGGAATCTAGTTCCAGTCTAGGATATATTGTGCTTGACTCAATGTTCAGACAGTCTTTTAAAATGTAGTCGTTGTTGTTTATTCATGTCGATAATGTTAAATGATATTTAGCAATTCAAAATGAACGAGATCGGATCGGAAGCACAAAACGCAGTCGTAAACGCTCTCTTCCATCCCATTTGCAGCCAACTTCGACCAGTGTTGATGGTCCAAGTGATTCAGGTATGTGTTTTCAGTATGTTCATTGAACACCTACCCGCCAGCAGTGTGATTGATCAAAAAGACATACTAATAGGGAATTTAATGATTAAAGATGATGGACCGTCGCCATTGAGAATAGAACGACGTTTAGAGGATGATGCGAGCACAACAACAGCATCGAAACGCTTAATTGAAATGATTGTCGATATCGAAAGTCGGCTGCAAGGCAATCAGAATATCAATTCGATATTGCGAGGTGAGGAGCCAGAGGTCAACTCGAGACAGCGAACCATATCGACTATGATCGGTTGGGCAAACATGTTGCATCCTTTATCTGAATTACCATTCACTGACAAGGTAATTGCCCAATTATATATTGTCATTGTTTTTTATTTTCAGTTGAATTCGAAATTCATTAAAATTAACAACTTTTATGCATTGATTTCGTCGAATACACAGCCTGCCTATTCATATGCTAACTTCAGCGCATATCTTTATGATCAATTCGATGAAAATATATCAGTTTTCAGGTTCTTGTACTGAAGTATTCATCGGCAGCATTTGCATTATTGCATACCGTACAACGTTCTCTATGTTCACCACACATTTTACTGCCAAACGATACATATTTAACGTTGAACACATTCAATAATCCCGATCTCATAACCAGATTTCACAACGAACTACTATCACCGTTGCGTGCGATCAGTGTTGAAAAGGCTGAATTAGCTGTGCTCAAGGCCTTACTGATAATGCATCCTGATGTTAGCGGTATCAGTAGTACATCCCGCGAGAGACTGCGCGAGGCGCGTGACGGCATACTACGAGCGTTGTTCAATTATCTTACTCAAATAGTGGTGGTGCCGTGTGATGCGGCATTGAGACTGAGCAATTTGTTGATGATAATACCATCGTTGTTCTCGATATCGCAACAGTTAGTCGACAATGTTCAACTGGGATCGTTGTTTGGTTTATGTGATAACCTATCGAGCACCACATCAGCCTCACCTACACCAACAACAACTCATCTGAATAGTATCGATAATAAACAACCCTTCAAAGATACTGATACTCATCTGTACAAAGAGAACGTCAACTCATTGCTCTTATCTAAGAGTGCTTTATTGGCTGGTCTAGTTGCATCACAAGCTATCTCCAACTATGCTCCATCATTGACAACTTCGAACAATCTTCAATCGCCCACCGAATTCAATTTTAGCAATTTACCTGCTATATCTTTACCGGTTCGTTTCTAACTCTTAATCTTGTGTGCTACCAAATTTATTTGCCGTAAATATTGTTGCAGTTGAGAAAACAATTTTTGCGGCGAAAACAAAAATAAAAAGGTCATCTAAACAATTCAGTAGTGACAATAACAATAAAATCGTAATAAGAATAACAACAATTTCAGTTGATTGGATCAACTACTACATCGAGCACATTCCCGCTATCAATGAAGATGTATATGACATAATACACAGTCATAATAGCTCTTAATCACGCGAACATATCATCAAGCAGCACTCAGCACACTGATCCGTTTCTGATTCTCGTTCTTATTCACTCATGATTGTTGAGGAATGAATTTTGATGATGATCTGTGTACAAATACGTTTGTGCATGTACATAAATTGTTTTGTTATCCAATTGCCATACTGTTTTGTAATGATTGCTGTTACGAGCTGCATCTATTGTTCATTTTTATATCTGTTGAAATGTTGTTTGTTCCATTCATTATTACTATTGCTATATCCATTGTAAATATAATAAATATTATATACGTTGTTGCTATTGCTTGTTTGTTGGCAGGCAGATTTTTTATTACGATCACAGAATCAACATTGTATTTTAATAAATAATTAGTGCACTACATACAAATAATGATGTTTTGCTAGGAACAGAATCTGAAATACGATCAAGTTTCGAAGAGAACAAACACAAAATAAACAACAAACATTACAGAACAACTGATAGTGTAGTTGTTTTCGCACTGATAAACACTGCATCGATTATCAGTGAAATGCATGATCCTCTCTCTATTCATAGACGCATACTGTAGCCGATTGCAAACGAATAGACCATCGCTTCAACATAAACCTGTTTGGAAACTGATTTCACGTATTCGAACAACTTATCACATTCCACTAATACAACCTAAATAAATAGTTTGCATTATTATTATTAGTGGTAGTAGTAGTAGTAGTAGTAGGGGCACAATCATTATTACTACATCCATAATTATCATTGCTCTCACGGTATTATTGCCACGAGAATGAAACAGATCAATACGTCGTCACAAGCAATACTTCAGTGGAATCAGTAATGAGCAGCTATTGATTCCGCATTGATCAACACTAATGAAGTTACTCGTTTCGAATGCTTCAGATAGATCTGCAGAAGCGAATGAATAAACTGTTCCCATATCAATAAGCATACAAGTCACTTCTGCATTATCACCACTCATAAACAACCTTCAAACTTTTCAGCTCGTCATAACAGGAAGTGTGCACAGATGCGTTATGTAATTATTTTCAAACGTTCAACGTTCGAAACCAACTCAATATATACACATCATGATATAAAAAGTTTGCCCTACCGCTGTCTCATAGAAATTTCGAATGAATTAGAAATGAGGAAGTGATACGAGGATAAACATTATTGTAAGCAAATCATAAACCAGACATCGGCAACCCCCGACCTGTGGGCCAAAATTGCACCACCGAAAGTGATTTTTGGCTACCAGAAGAATTTGAGAATA